GCGTGGGTGTGCCGAGGGCCGGGTAGAGGAGGAGGCAGCCACACCAGCGGTCGGCGGGCAGGGGGCTTCCCTGGATGGATGGGATTTGCAGTTCAGTAGGGTCCTGGCAGCATGCTCACCACGAAGGGCCGTGGCTGTCGCTCGCTGCTTGGCAGGAAGGCACCTGAGTGTGGCCTAGCTGTGTGGGGCCACGTGCTTCACGCCGTTTGCCACAAGCTCGTTGTCAGCCGCAGCCAGCCGCCCCGTGGATGTCACACACGGTCAGCGGAGCCCAGAGACTTAGCAGACGCGCCCCACGAGGGCCGCCAAGCTTGCCACCTACCTGTACCTTTGCCAGATGCCTGAGGCGGCACGGCCGTGGGCTGCCCACAGGGAGGAGCAGGGCGTGGGCCCTGTCGCCTTCTTCGTCTCAGTGTATCCAAGATGGCTTGTAATTTGAAGACCAGTTTTAGCAGAACCAGGTCTTGGGTCTCAGGCCCTGATCCTTCGGCCTGATGAGACCCCACTCGCCTGGAAGGGAGGTTCCCGTCCACACGGGCTGTGGCTCGGCAGGCCCGGGGGGGGGGTCAGGACAGACACATGCACAAGCTGGGGACAAATGCCCTCTCTGGCCCAGCCTCCAGCCTCCCGTCTGACCAGCTGTTATGGACTCCTGGACGAGGCCTGGAGGACTTGGCTGGGGAGGGCCACGCCCCCAGCCCCTCCCGCCCCATCCAGGCTGCTTTGGGGGTGGGAGAGAGGAGCAGGGCTCCAGCTTGGCCCGCATGGCCGAGGCCGTGGTGGGGAATCAATTCGGCTGTCACCGGGACCCGGAAGAGGTTTTTTAACTAGATGAAACGTTTAGGCAGGGTGAGCTGGCAGATATACCTGGGAGGTCGCGGCACAGGCCCTGGCGGAGACGGCTCGGTGGAGCTTCCAGGCGGCAGCAGGTGCCCTGCGGCTTGGGCCCGGGGTGTGCTGGCATCGCCGGAGGGGCAGGGCTCCCTTGGCCCTGGACACAGCGGGGCTGGGCTGGCTCTCCTCCCGCACGGGGCCATGCATGTCCACACAGAACCCGGATGGACGTGGAGGGCGCGGCCCTGGGCGGAGCCTGGACCATGCCGATGCTGTGCGTGACATTCTGGGCAGGTCAGAACCTTTCACCAGTCATCCGAGATGGTGGTCTGCCACCGGCTCCCGCCTCAGAGAAGAAGGCGGCCCAGGTCCCATCCTGCCCTCTGCCCTCTGTCTGCCTGTCCTCTGTGTCTCTGGACTTCCCAGGCAGTGGCTGCCTCGCCCACCCTCCAAGCCCTCGCTGAGGGGAAGGCCACGCCGGACCAGGCCCAGGATCTCAGCTCTCAGCCTCACCTTCCCTCCACATGGCCAGTGATGGCCACCCCCGACTGCAGCCCCAGGCCGACCAGCACGTGGCCAGCGCCCTCCCCGGGCCGCAAAGCCTCTCCGTCACAGGCCTCGCCAGCCCCACGTGGGCCTCTGCAGCACCCGGCCCAGAGCCCGGGTACAGGCCCTGTGGTGCCTGCTCTGGGTGGCCCTGGGGCGCTCGCCACTCAAAGTCCACACAGCTGGACTGAGCTGGGTCTGCAGAGGGTCAGCTCCGTGCAGGGGTGGGCGAGCCGGCGGCAGCCCTCGTGGGGCCACCCGGAGCCCGGGAACGGGCAGAAGGCCAGGCCTGGGCTTCCTGAAGCTGTTCTGGTTGGAGGTCCTGGGCTCTAGGGCACAGCCAGGCCTGATGGGGAATCAAGATGGGGAGAGGGTGCCCAGACCTGTGGGGGACAGGCAGCCCACCGCCGCCCAGGCTCAGGCCTCCTCTCGGAGAAGAACACCTGTCTGCAGTCATCGCCTGGCCGTGTGACCTGGGGGGCTGATTTCCCCTGCAGGCCTCCAATTCCTGTCCCATAAAATGGGTCCCAAGTGGCCCCTCTGGTGGGGTGCAGCACAGGAGCCACGTGGTCAGCGGGCCGGGCGCACCAGTGCACTCCGCCCTCCCTGCTGAGGACTCCCTGGGTGGCAGGAGGCACATGGATGGACAGAGGCGGAACACAGCCCAAGAGTGCGACCTGGCCTCTATGGAGGTGTCTCCTGTGCCCCACTCCCACTGGGTGCAGGGGAAGGCGCCCGACCAGGTGCCTCAGTGCCTCCGTCTCAGGGAGGAGCTCTCAGCGGGCTGCCCCCACCCCTGCCCCAGTCTGGACTTTGACCCTGAGAGTCCAGCCCTGTGCTCCTGCCCTGGGGCCATTCAGAGGCTGGGGAAGAAAGAGGAGGCAGCTGGTTGGGCTGGGGGTGGCTCCATCTCAGAAGGACCCCATCCAGCCAGAGGTTCCAGGCTTGCCCAGGAGAGCTGCTGAGGTTGGAGGGGAAAGCGAGGCAGGAGCCCACAGGCTGAGCTGACGTGGTGGGCAGAGTAGGTGGGCCTGTAGCCCAGAAGCAAGCAGGTGCCTGTGGGCTCAGTGCCCTCACTGTGTCCTGTCTGCCGGGCTCTAGGGCTCCCCAGGCCATGTGGGTACGTGGGCAGGTAGTGGGCGGGTGGTAGAAGGGAGCGAGTGGGAGCGTGGGTACTCTGCGGGTGGGTAGGAGTGCGGACCGGCCCTCGCCACCGTGTCGGGTGCTGCCTTGCCTGGGAACACCCACTGGATGGTGTCTACACCGCCAGGTCGGCGCAGCAGGACCTCCCGGCTGGGTTAAACCCGCTCACGTCCTGGCCGCAGCTGCTCCAGGGCTGCAGGGACAGACAGGAGACAGGCGAGGTATGTGGAGGGCGTGCAGCTGGGCAGTGTGGCACGGGGCCTCTGCCGGGTGGGCTGCCCTCCCTCATTCTCCATGGCGGGTGAGAGCGGAGAACACACGAGCTTGGCTTTCGTTCCAGCATGGCATGGCGTGCTGGGCGTCCCAGAGCTGCAGTCCCTGGGGCCCAGCCACCTGCGGGCAGAGGGATGCAGGCGATGCAGGGCTGTTGGTGACTTTCTCACTGGTCTGCTGGGCTGGGCCTGAGTGATGCCGGCTCCCCGTGCCCCAGCAGCACCCCTGGAGCAGCCTGGGGTGTCCTGCTGGTGTCCTGCACTGAGCCAGGCTGCAGAGGGGCGGCTATCAGCCCTCGGGCTCCCTAGACTCAGGGGTGCTGGCTGCAAACAGGGCTGGGTCTACCAGGCTGGGTCTACCCCCGTGGGCAAGCAGAGGGCCCAGGTGGCTGGAGCTTCAGCAATGACTGGCACAGGGGTGTTGGAAGGAGGTA